CCAAGGAACTGGTCATCGACTTCAGGAAGAAGCAGCCAGTGCACACCTCGGTTTACATCATGGACACTGCAGTAGAAATAGGACAGCACACCAAATTCCTGGGAGTGCATGTGGCCAAGGACCTCACCTGGTCTCTGCACACCTCCTCCATCCATCAAGAAAGCTCATCAACGCCTGATCTTCCTGTGGAGGCTAAAGAGAGGCCGTCTGAGCACATCAGTCCTCACCACTTTCTCCAGAGGAACCATAGAGAGCGTGCTGACCAGCAGGATCTCTCTGTGGCATGAGAGCAGCAGTGACTCTGACTGGAAGGCACTGAAGAGAGTGGTGAGGGCTGCTGAGAGGATCATCAGGGTCTCGCTGATCAGTGAGGCCAGTAAATGCAGATCAGAGATGTGTAGCTTCAGACCCAGAGACACCTGCAGAGAGAACCAAACACAAACTAGAACTAAGGGATGGTTCAGGTGATCCTGAGCAGCTTTAACTCTAAACTTTATCAAAGAGCAAAGTTTTCAGCCTTAACAGTAGAGAGGGTGTCTGCCTCCTGAATCCAGACTGGGAGCTGATTTCACACCAGAGGATCTGATAACTGAAGGCTCTGCCTCCCATTCTACTTCTGGAAACTGTACGAACTATAGGAGCTCTGTTCAGATCATATGGGACAATGAGGTCTTTCAGATATGATGGAGCTTGGTCATGAAGAACTTTGTATCTGAGGAGAACAATTTAAACCTTATCCTGGATTTTACAGGGATGCAATAAAGAGAAACTCATATGAGACAAAGATGATCTATTATGTTATATTTCCTACCAGAACTCTGGCTGCAGCAGTTTGGATCAACTGGAGGTTTTTCAGAGAGTTTTCAGACCAGAGGTGACAAACTCATCAACTAGTTTTTCAGATTGACTTTAAGACATCATGTTCTTTTTTTTTGACAAAATGATGCAGGTGAGGGAAAGCCAACCCAGAGACTTGCTTTGTGTGTAAGTAAAAAGTCATATCTTGGTCAAAGATACCTCTGAGGTTCCTCCCAGTAGAGCTGGAGGCCAAGGCAATGCCATGCACACTTACTACTTGTTTAGATAGTATGTTTAGATAATAACTTAGTAGTTTACATAGATAAACATAGCTGGGTGTCATCTGCATAGAAATGAAACCTTTTCCACAATTTCACTGCTTCAGTGGCAGTAACCTCTATTGTATACAGCATCATACACCAGTCTCTGCACCCTCATGGGTCTCTGTATTGTCCTGAGTTGATGGCTGATTGGACCAGAGTCTACACCAGAGTTCAAATCAAGCCCCACATGTTAGAATGAGTCAGAACATTTCCATAGAGAGGCACTTTGCATCAGCAGCACCATGCTCCAGTGCTCTGGGAGACTTTATAGTGGTGACACTTGAACACTGGATGACTGACAGCTGTCCTTCATGACAACAGAAGACACAGAAATCCTCCTCATCAGAAACATGACTTTGATCTGCGTCCTCATCTGGACTCTCCTCTGCTGTTGCTTCACAGGTAAAGTCCAGACAATCAGACTCCTCTCCTCTATCAACATGCGTCCCTCTGAAATGAAGCCCACACAACCATGACGCTGCTTTCTGTTTGTGTCTCTGTATCCTCAGAGTCCAGAGGACAGATCACAGTGACTCAGCCTGGAGCAGTGAGCTCTGCTCTGGGAGGCTCCGTCACCATCAGATGCACGACCAGTCAGCATGTTCGTGTTTATAATGGCAAGCACCGTTTAGCCTGGTACCAGCAGAAAGATGGAGGAGTTCCTAAACTGCTCATTTCTAATGCTAACAGCAGAGAATCAGGGATTCCAGCTCGTTTTACAGGCAGTGGATCAAACTCTGACTTCACTCTGACCATCAGTGGAGTCCAGACTGAAGATGAAGCAGTTTATCACTGTCAGAGTCTCCATTACCCCAACAGTCAGTATGTGTTCACACAGTGAAAAGGCGTCGTACAAAAACCTCCCTCAGTCAGACTGAACAGAAACTGAACTGACTGATACAGTTCACTGAACACATTTTCAGGAAGTACATTGAACACGTCCTTATTGTTACTTCCAGCAATGATCATGAATATCAAAGTATCAACAAAGTGTTCAAAGTCATCAATGATCTAAGTTTAATTGAAATTATTTCTTTGATGACAACTGGGAAATGGATCCCAGTATGACCTGATGTTTTTTTCTGGTTCATCTCATCTGTGACAGTTAATGAGAAACATCTTGGTCAGGACCTTTGACCTCAGCGTCACAGTGAATCACAGCTACACAACTACATCCTGTCCAAAGACAACATGAAGACACAGATCAGCATCAGAAACCTTCATGATCAATGACCACCCAAACAAAACCACAACATTTCTCAGAACAAGTGATTTAATTGTTGCTAAAGACAAAACCTAAAAACACAAGCTGCCACATTTACAGAACCATTGAAACCAGCTGTGGCTGAGCTCCGTCTCCTTCAGGTTCACACCGTCTCCAACTCACATACAACTCTGAGAGACGTTGTACACGTGGCCCAGCAGGTGGTTCCACTGATCATTTCAGACACGTCACTGTGATCTCATGTTGCCTCATTAACCTCGGCACTTTTCTGCATACAAACAGCTGAGCTGCTGCACAGATTGACAGTTTCTACAGTGAAACCACTGGAAACAAGAAAGTCAGAATGAATCAGCTCCATCAGAACTGTACATACGATTTGCATTCAGACATGAATCCAACACATTTGCTGACCATCACATGACAGGAAAGAGTGTCGGTCTGAAAGGGGCTATACTCAGCCTGCAAGTTACCGTATTTTATGAAAAGCAAGAATGCCAGTGTTAGTGCACATCATCATAGTCATATTTTGTTCATGTTACGACATTAAAAAGGAGAAATTCTATAAATTCTGCTGCAACACGTCTTTCCAGAAACAGTCTTTGTTACTGTGGACAATCTACAGAACACAGTGTGAACAGTTTTCACTGGAGCCACTTTGACATGAAGAAATGTTCCCTGTTTGTGCTGCCTAGAGTCTGGTCTATGAGCTGGACCTCACTGAACAAGAGCTCCCCTCCTCACAAACCCCAGTTGAACCCTGTTCATACCAGTTACTGCATACACACAGGATAAGCTGCCAAAGCATGTTCAATGAAACATACTCTCTGACATTCAGTCTACAAACCAACAAGCACATGGAGAGCTGTTGTGGTCAATTCATTATCACCTTATTTACTGATATTCTGTGTTTTGTTTTTCCCACTGAGACACATAATTATGATTGAGGTTTCTGATGATGCACATTTGATCTTGTTTCCGTTCCCGTTGTGTGATCCAGGTCAAAGCTGTAGTGTAAAGAGACACTTTTGAAGGCCAGTGTGTAGCTGTTAGATATCCACTCAGCCCACGCTGCAGTCAGCAGATGCACACTCCCTGATCTGCTGTCTACCTGCAAGCTGCTAGAAATGAGCTTCATCTTGTATCGCTCCACCTCTTAGATACACTTGTGTGTCTGAGCTCTGTGCTTGTCAGCTGAAAATAAGATTTACTCTACATTTATCCACTTTAACAAAGAACTGAAAGGATAAGAGCTGTTTTCTAGTCTTGTCCTGATTAAATCTGATTATGTCACTGCTTCTCACAAAGATTTCCACCACAACACTCAAAGTTCATTCTTGACCTTATTAACAGCAGCTGACCAAACGATCTCACTACAAGGTCCATTTAGTAGCTGCTGTGGAGCTTTCAGTCACATCACAGGATCTTCCTCAGCAGATGGAGTCATCACTGTTTAGTTTGTTGTTCACTTATTTTTCTAACTTCTTGACTACATTGATTTAGAGTTAAAGGACAATTCTGCTTCATCTGCTGAAGAAGACTCTGGGATTTGCTCCAAAGCTTCAGAACACTTTCTGAATGGTCCTGAACTGGATGGTTATGATCATCAAACATGAATGTTCAGTTCCAGACAAACTAATCTGTCCAGCTGTGACAGAAAGCAGGTTGGTAGCAGCTTTGAAGCATCATGTGTGTACAAAGTCTAAAACTGTTGTCTGTCGGTTCAGTGTCAACATGTTCTTTATTGTTCTGATCTCAAAGCAGCTTTTACAACCAGAGCCTGCTGTGTTCTGGACTGTGGTTCTAAAAAGTGACCACCTGGTGCTGTTTGGAAACCACACTGTGACAGTGAACCCAGAAAGTCCAGTGAGTCCCAGGATGTAGTTTCAGCTACTTTTCTGCTATGAAGAGTCGTGAGGGGCGTCGCTGCAGGAGAACAAACTAATGTCAGCAGACCTGTGATCAGCAGAACATCAGCCTCTTATCTGGATGTGTAAGAAATGCTGAGTAACTGTATGCAGCTAGTGTGAGAATGTATTCAAATATATGACCTCAAAGACTGTCATTAATTCAACCTGTTTACTCACAAAAGGTGATTTAAATAGACATAATGAATACATCTTGTTACTACCCACCTCTGAACACCACCAGAACATTTCCATAGAGAGCCACTTTGCATCAGCAGCACCATGCTCCAGTGCTCTGGGAGACTTTATAGTCCTGACACTTGAACACTGGATGACTGACAGCTGTCCTTCATGACAACAGAAGACACAGAAATCCT